ACGCTTTAGTCACAAGTACATCCTATAACAACGTCCTAAACGGCAAGTCGGACTTAATTTTTACCTTTAGGATTCTATATTTTCTATGTAATAGGGTTAAATACAGGCTGAGAATGGATTGCGCAAACCAACAACAGAACCACTACCCCGTCCTATGTCAATCACAAACATAATTAAAGTAAAATCACAGATCGCCAGAAATTGAGCCCACGAAACAGTTAGTCGATTTTCTTCGATGCCCTTTTCCTCGCTCTCGTCTTTTCAGATGGAGAACCGGAAGGCACTGCTTTGGCAGGTTTTCCATCAACAACTTCCTCAGTGGACTTGATTTCAGCCTTCTTCTGTTCTGAGACTACGTCTTCTCCTTTCTGGCCAAATTCGTTAACACGCGAGTGATCGACGGGATAAAGATAGCGTTGATAAAGATAAATAATAAACACGATGTCATCACTGAAACTGACTTTCATGAAAATTTTCTAAAAAATGTTCAAAAAAGCCACCGACCGGAAGCAAGCAACACGATGAGCAGTTGGCATGACTATTATAAATGCGAAGAGATCATCGATGAACGTATTGAAAGCCTGAAGGAAACCAATAGTGAGTGAATTTGTGAAGCATTTAAGAAATATGTAGAGCGGTTCAAAATGGGTGAGAAAAAACAACATTAGCAAAGCAAGAAAGGTGAAAAACCTTACCTTGTACGTAAAAGCTCTCCATGGGAGGTGCGCCACACTCTTCAATTTATAATTGACAAACAACTGAGGAAGCATGAACAAGAAGCCAAACGCATAGACTCCATTAGCCATCGATTCAAGCACCCAGCTATACCACGATTTATGTGGAACATACATCAAGCTAAAATCAGGACCATTTTGAGAGTGACGACTATATCTCAGAGTGTTAATAAAGTAAATAAATAGATTATGCAGGTGGGTCTTTTCAACGCGATGTGCGTAATCCCTTCCATCGCAGAAATTTATTCATATAAAAACTCGAATACACCACGATATGCTACGCTAATAAAGAGGGATCGGCTCGGAATTGTAGATTTGGAGGATGAGAATTCTATTAAGAACTATTTACCTGTAAATGGCGCCTCCAATGCAGAGTGGAGTCATAAGATATGCCAAATATTTCATAGCTTCACTATCAAACGCCTCCGTCTCTTCTTCCTCGGCTGAATGCTTGCCGAATTTCAGCCCCTGCCATGAGAATGAGACCTGCAAATCATGACGAAAAATACTCCAAATGAAATCACAGCTCTTTTAACGGAGAAAGCAACAGAAAAGAATGGAAGTGGGACCTTTCGAAGCCGTGCCTGACCCTAATAACATAAGTATAACTCTATAAATATCCTGACCGACAACAACGTCAAATCACTAACCTTAAAAGCCTTCTTCAACTTCCAGAATTCAATCAATACCGAAATTCCCGCAGGCACAATCACAAGGAGACTCGTTTCTTGATCTTGGAGATAGAAGAAAATAACGGTATACGAAAAACATCGCCACAGCAAAGCCCTGCCAGATTGAAATAGATCATACGGT